GGGACCCCAGGCTGTGGGGCGAGGGGTGTCGTGGAGCCATGGGGACCCCAGGCTGTGGGGCGAGGGGTGTCGTGGAGCCATGGGGACCCCAGGCTACAAGGTGAAGGTCATCACAGGGCCATCCCCAGGCTGCAGGCAGGAGAGGGATACTGGTCAGCGGTTTTGTAGGGTACACCGTGTTCTCTCAAACAGGGATGCTGTGTCCCATGGGGAAGCCCCACACAGGTGAGTGAAGAGGTATCCCCCCCATGACCACAGACTGCAGCCCCCGTGATTGGCCCTCGCACGGTTTGGAACCAGGATGCCCAAGTGTGAATGGAAAAGACCAGCTGTGGTCACTGCCACCTTTATTGTCCCTACGCAGAGGGCGTGCCCTTCAGGAGGCTCACCGAGCCACCAGCCTTCACCTCACCGTGAGGTCACCAGCCCTCACCGTGAGGCCGCCGTGCGCTGCTGAGGGAAGACTCTGGAGACAGTCCGGGTGGGGGACTGCCGAGCGACCTCAGGCCGTGGGGCAGGGTTGGCGGAGGTCAGGCTGCTGGGCGGGCATCACGTCCAAAGCCAGCAGGAGTCACAGGAAGCTGCCAGTCTGCTCAGAGTTCTCCCTCCACTGTCCCTGGAGCCAGGACAGGACGCAGCATCTGGGAAGGGCGGAGATGGTCGAGGGGAGAGAGCTCAGCCCATCTCCCCCAGCCACCCAGATCGGCCTGCCTCCCACTCAGGGTCCGCAAGGGGTCCCCCGTCCTTCACCTGGGAAGGAGACAGCAACGCTACCGAGGGTCTTCACACAGGAATCCCCTCTTGCTAAGAGGTGGAGGAGTTCCAACAACAGCCCGTGACACCATCTTTCAGGACACACGTGTCCTGACAGGCTGTTGCTACATTTGCTGTCTCCCCATGTCTGGTGCCCTCAAAGGCCAAGCGGCCACCAGCAGCCACACCAGGTCCCAGAGACCCCCAGGGACCCTGCTGAGGCCTTGGCGCCCAGATCTCTTCTGGCTGACTCCTCTCAGGGGGCCTCTGAGAGCCTGCCCACCCCAGTACAGAGCCAGAGGCTTGAGCCCTGACTAGCAGGACGCTCTGACAGAAATCTGGGCTGGGGGAGGAGCAGGGCTACCATCTCAGGTCCCTGGACTCGAAGACAGTGGTCTCCTCGTCGCTGTCCACAGAGGCCATCTCAGCAGTGTCCTCGCTGTTGGCCAGGAGGCCATACCGCCGTCGCTGGGGCTTCTTCAACCTGGAAGAGGTCCAGAGGCTCCTGCTGTGTACAGGGGGGCACCCTCCTGTCTCCCCTCCCCACCACGGTCTGACCCGGCCTGCGCGTGACCACAGGAGCTGCTCAGAGGAGCCCAGGTGGTTGACAAACACTGGATGTTCAAGTCCGCCGGCTGCACCTCAGCCCTGGGCAGTCGGGGTCAGAGGGGACCTGGTGGCACTGTGGGCTAAGCATGACCCACAGCTGCTCCTGGAAACATGAGGCCAACTGCTTCCGTAAGGTCACCATTTGGGGACCTGACGACACAGCCCTGCTGTCACCCGCAAATCACCATCCCTGCAGACGGTCCGGCCCTTGGTGGACCCTGTCAGGGGGCTCTTGGTTCATATCCCTGCCTCAAGGGTGTCTCCCAGGCCTAAGCCCACGGACAGCAGGAGAGATGACGATTTGCCATCCTGTCTAAGGGGCAGCCTGGTTGCACTAACTCTAAAACACATTCATTGTTTTCTTTGGAAAAAGACAAGCTTAGCAGGGCAAGCAAGAGGGTTTGCAAAAGACAGAAAACACATCAACGAGATGCACAGTGTCTGTGGCCACGGGCTTGAGCCGGACAGAGAGGACGAGGGGACCCAGGAGAGGACCAGGTTCAGATCTATTCTTCACGGGGTCACTACGAGGTGCACCAGCCCCCTTCGCACCAGCCCGGGGTAACCATCCCATTTCACAGCTAAGACGGAGGCTCTGAGCAAGTGGGCTCAAAACAGACCCGTCTGGACAGAGAGGGGTCCCAGGGCCACAGTGCGAGGGCGGGAGGCACAGCACAGGTCAAGGGCCAGGACAGGGGCATGGTGTCCGGCATGGTGTCCAGGAGTGTCCCTGGGACAGGCAGGCGGGGCTGCACTGTGCACCAGGGCGACAAGGACCCTGTAGGGAGAGGTCCCCAGTCGTGGACACGGCCGGGCGGCGGGGGCGGGGCGGGGTGAGTGCGGAAAGGCTCCTCTGCGAAGGTCCGAAGTGACCTGTGATCAGATCTGAGGCCAGAGGCCAGCAGCAATGCCCACGTGGGCGCATGCGTGGTCCCGGAGGGGCCAGCCTTGGGCGGACAGTGCACGGGGACGGCGACCCGGGAGGCTGGGGTGGGCAGCGCCCAGGAGCGGGAGGGAGAGGCGGCCCCGGGAGAAGAGGCCCCGGGAGGGAGAGGAGGCCCCGGGCGGAGCGGACAGCCGGCTCGATCCGGCCTGGGGTCCAGCCGGAAGGCGGACACACGCCGACTGCGAAGCACCGGCCACGAGTCGGGGCACGAGACGGCGCACGCGCGGGGCGGGGCGCGCACGTGACAGCGGGAGGCCGCGCCATTGGCCGCCGCGCGGCGACGTGCGCGGACGCACCTGAAGGCCCGGATGAGGAAGTAGAGCGCGGCCAGGCCGCTGAAGCCCGTGAGCACGTAGAAGGAGCGCAGCAGCGAGGCGCCCGCGGAGCCCGGCGAGCGAGTGCCGTTGAGCGGCGGGTCCGGCCGGCTCCCGTTGGTCACGGCGGCCGGCGGC